ATTGTACAGAACACTATAAAACATATGGGAGCAAAAAACAGAACACTATAAAATATATGGGAGCATTTTGAAACACAGCTTTTTGCCAGGTGTGGTGAAGCAGGCATGTAATCCCAACATTTGAGGAGAGAAGACTGCAAGTTTGAGGCCAGCCTGGACTATAGAGTTCCAGGCCAGTGTGAGCTATACAGTGAGACCCTATCTCAAAACAAAACAACAACAACAAAGAAACAGCTTTTCCTCAATACAGTTATAATACTACTTTGTGAAACAGACATGATTAGATGCCCAAAGGGACCCAAGAGAGGGAGAAAAGGAAGGCAGAGAGAAGAAAGCCAGTCCCAGGGAGAGGCCAGGCTTGCCTGTGGCAGTTGGGCAAGAAGGAAGGAAGAGAGAAGCAGAGGAGGGGGGGATTTGGAGTGAGCCAGGGGGGGCAGGAAGGAGGTGAGAGGAGTGACTCTGGCTGGTGGAGGAGGGGTGTTTCAGAGTGGAGAGCATGTGCAGCTTTGCTTCAACCACACGACGTGTGACAATGTCAGTGCTGTTGTTGAAGTGCTTACACTCTTAGGCCAAGGAATCCTAAGCTGTAGCTGGGCACCAGTGGTTCATGCTTACAATCCTAGCTACTTGGGAGGCTGAAATCTGGAGGATCATGGTTCCAACTCAAGGCAAAAAAGCTTGGGAGACCCTCTTTTAACCAATAAAAAACTGGGCGTGGTGACATGTGCCTGTCATCCCAGCTAAGGCAGGAAGTGGGATCATGGTCCAGGCCAGCCTGGGCAAAAAGTGAGACCCTACTGTGAAGATAACCCAAGCAAAAAGGGGTGGGGGCTTGACTCAAGTGCTAGAGTGCCTGCTTAGCAAGTGCAAGCCCTAAGTTCAGACCCAGTATCGTAAAAAAAACCAAACAAACAAAACTGAACCACACCTTACAGTGGGTCCCACTGTGTGAGACAGTCATTAAAAAACCCAGTCATCATTCCACAGCATCAGTCTCAGCTAGGCACTCAGACAAGGAAATTTCAACCTGAGTCGCAGGTTGCTTCCCCAGTGTGACAATGGGGGTGGCTATGTAGAAGAAAGTCCCTGCTCTTAGGAGACACATGTTGAAGTCTTTAGGAGGGTAAAGTCCTGGATGTCTGGAAATTCTCAAAGCTCTAATTACAAATCATCTATGGATGCATAAATCTCATCATTGCATTAATGATCTAATATAACCAATATGTCCCATTGCATCTGCTCCATTTACAAAAATTAGGCACCTGTATAATTAGAGTGAGCACCCCATCCCTGCACTGTGTGACAAATGTGCACAATTTCTCTGACTTGTCATTGAAATTTCTTAAAACAAAAGCCCCTCAGACCAATGCTGGGAAACCTCCAACCAGCCCACTGGCCCTGGGAACACCCCAGAATAGCTTAGCTCCCCCCACTCGGGGCTCTTCCCTCAGCCCAGCTCCAGTTCTTAGAAATAAGGGGAAAACTAATTCAGTCAGTGTTTTAAAGACCAGGCCCACTACAAGTCAGGGGAGAGAAAAGTACCCATGTGCAGGAACAAGTTCTAGACCTGGCAGTGTCCCCAGAGCTGTGGGCAAACTTGAACTTGAATGTGTCACCACCTTCCGCCTCCTCCAGGATCCTTCTGGCTACCACTCCCAGTTCTTGGGCCCTTCGTTAGAGGGGGAAATTTCCCATAAGTTAACAAAATCAGTTTATTTGTTAGTACCAAGGAAATAAAATGCTTTTTCCTTGAATGTGCCCCCAAAGCCTATACAAAAAGCATACAAAAAGGCCCCCTGACTTGGCCCGCCCAGCTTGGGGGTTCCGGATTCTCCTAGAGCACCCAGCTGGCTCTTTCTGAGAAGTGCTATCCCCGGCCACCACCTGGCTTGCCACAACTGCTCTCATCTTGGCCCTACCTCAAATGATGTCATGACAATCTGAACCTCAGGACCCCATTTGTCACTTGTCAGTGCCTGGGGCCCTGAGAAATCACCTGCATGTTGCCAGGAGCATCTCTGGTTTTGCACTCCAGAGGATTAATGGAGGGCTTAAATATCCATTAACAGGTCCCCTTGGTCCAGGGTTGGGTGGAACAAAGGGAGCTGCTGCCAGATCCCAGGGGATCTGAAGGAAAGAAGAAAAATAACAGTAAGGCCTCCCACCAGCCTTATCTCTACTTATTCTGTTACCTTGTTAGACATGACTGGGAAAACACTTGCTCAGTTTAAAAGCGTGTTGCTGACATCCAGTAAGTCAACATTCATCTTCCCAGTCACCAGAGCTAAAAAAAGGCTAGGCTGAAGGGAATGTCCCCTGCAGAGACATTACTCACAGATCAACACTCCCCAGTGTGCACCAAAGTCACTACTCAGAGCTCTTAGAAATAAGGGAGCCTGATTGGCCCATGGTAGGTCTGGGCCCACCCCAGAAACACAATGCTCCTCCACTCGGGAGATTTAGTTAGAGATTAGTTTCATCTGCTTTTTAGAAAGATGTCATTTTCTTTCATAAGGTGCTGTTCAGCCTAGGGAAGCACAGAAACTGACTCCCCATAAGAGCAGAGCGAGGCTGCACTCCTTGCCCAAGCATGAAGAAGAGCGTGCTTTATCCTGGGTTCGTCTCAGCCATGCTGGTTCCACCAGACATGGCAAACCTGAGTGCAGCCATTGGCACTGACTCAGGACTGGGAAGGAAAATCAGCACAGCCCAAATCTACACACCTGGAGGGCATCTTGCACCAAAGCACTAGAGGCATCCAGGAACTTGGCCCTGGTTGGGTGTGGTTGTGGCACAGGACTTAGCTTACATGTGTCTGAGCATGCAAAGCCTCTGCCTCCAAGTGACCCTCAAAGTCTGCAGAAGACTCCGATTTCACAGCAACACCTGGCCTGCCACAACGCTTTCACCTCAGGCCTGTCTACACCATCATTCCAGCTCGTGTTCCTCGTTCAGAACCAAAGATCGTGAGACCCAGAAGAGTTGACATGTTCCTGTGAATAACTAAGGTCCCAGTTCCCATCTCAACATAAAATGACTGCCTAATTCCCCCTTGGGCCACAGGGGCATCTTAAGGACAGGAATCAAGTCATGACCACATCCTGCTGATTCAGTGAGCCAAAGAAAACTCAATTTCTTCAGGCAGCCCTGTCTCTTGTGATTCTCAGCTAATACCCTGGGACAAGCAGGAAGGAGAATTTGCCTGAATTGGCTTCATTTCTGGAATTACCTGTGTTTCTCTTGGGGTGGGAACATCCAGGGTATTTTGCAAGCCTGCCATAGGTGCAGCCCAACCCATCCTCCTACCTCCTTCCCTCCAGCCGCCCATCTGGGAAACTCCCGCATGCCTCTCCAAGTTTTATCAAAATGCTCAGGTGATTCCAAAAAATGTCCCCAAGAGGAATTTCTGAGGGCCTGCTGATTCCATTAAAACGCCATCATTATTCTGTCTCTCCCTCCTCAGTATATATAGTTCTTAAACCAGGTGCCTGGAGACTGAAAGAAATGGGTTAAAACGTCTGGGCTGGAGTTAACACTCAGAAATGTCCCAGAAGGATCACCAGAGCACTGTGGGACTTTTGACTCCCAGTTAAAAGCATTCTCCACCGCCAATGGAGAGAGCCATTTGGGGTGTCTGTTTTTCCTTCCTTCCTTCCTTTTTTCTTTCTACTTCACCCTGAAAAGTCCCCCCAATGCCCTGCTGCCCTGGTGATCCATCCAAAGTATCTCAGAGATGTAACTACCAGCCCAGATAGTCAAATCATCTCTTCAGATGTAGCTTAGTGGTAGAAGGTGTGTTTAGTTAGTGTGTACAAGGCCCTGGGTTCAATCCCCACAGCTGCAAAAAAAAAAAAAAGTAAATTTGCATAAATTGAAGAAGAACCTACCTCTCATCCTAGCAGGAGCCTGACTCTGCCCTCACTGTGGTAGGAAAACCTGAATGTTCCCTGAATCAGGTGCTCCACACAAAAGCAAGTGATGGGACAAAGAGGCAAAGCTGTGTTTCCCTCACTCCTCCACGCCCAACCACTAATGCTTCCCCAAGCTCTTCTCCGTTTCATTAAACACAAATCCCAATGTTGCCTTCTTAGACATTTTTTCCTATGTAACTGAAGGCAAAACACATTAAATATTTGATCCTGTCTTACTATGATGAGAGCTAGCAGGCTCATAAATAATCCATTGACCTGGTTCATTTTTTTCTGGACAAAATTGATCATAAAAATACATACACACAAGCGTTTGTAATGTCTGACTCTTAGAAATTCTACCCCTCTCCAATTCTTTAGATGTCCCAACTGGGAAAGAAAAATTCAATATACAAAAGCTACCCTCCTCCCCCTGCAAAAGGCAATCTGCCCCTTAGGGTTCACTAGCTCTAGAGAGCTTTTTCAAAGCGAATTTGCACGTACACATTTTTAAAGCAACTGATGACTATATACTCCCTCTTTGTGGAACAACAGCACGCTGGAGTTTGGGGTAAATTCGGTATGGCCTGTGAGGTATCTGAGCCAGCCTGAGCTCTGCCAGCGAGACAATCCAAGCGCACGGAGCCTCGGCCCATTCAAAGATTTCTCTAAATTATCTGGGCATTTGTGCCAGTCAGAATTCTCCCTGCACAAGTGTCTTTGCATAAAGCCACCTGCGCACGAAAGCAGCAAAATAAAGATCAAACATAAACCATAAGCTAAAGCAACTTTTGCCGGAGCGCAAGCCAGCACTTTGCTTAAGACCACGGTTACCGGGTCTTCCTCTGTCCCTGGAACCCCCGCCAAGCCCCTAGTGCAACAAAGGAGCCGTCCAGGGCGCCCGCGGTCCACGGCGCGCGCAGCCCCGCGCGCTCACCTCCTCCGCGCTCACGCTCTTTACGCGCAGCCGGGGGCGCAGCAGGCCCGAGCGGGAGCCGGAGCCCGGAGCTCAGCTGCGCGACCGCTCCCCTCGGAGCGAGCTGGGGCTTCCGGAGAGAAGAGTCGGTCAGGGGAAAAGGCAAACCGACCCACCTGCCGGCGGCTGTGAGCAGACTGATCCCGCTGGGGAGGCGGCGCGACCCTCGCACCCTCGAGGCACCCGGGAGGCCGCTGCCTGTGCGGAACCGGCTCCCGCGCCGCACTATTTGTACTCTCGGCCCCTCACATGGTCTGATCTCTAGATAGCCCCCGCCAAAGAGCTGTTTAAGAATTTTTGCGTCACTTTCGGGCGAAGAAACTTCCACCCCCAATCACGCTGCCTGTGCCCTGGACAGCCGGGAGACCCGGAGCTGGCTGGCAGCGGACAGGTCAGTGCAGTGCAGAGGGAAGGATCCGACTTTCCAGCTCTTGAACTTGTGGGACGGAGACGTTCCATAAACTGAGAGGTTAATTTCCCAATTTCCCCCTACCCCACCCAATCTGTCCTAAATTGTGTTTAGGTTCTGTTCCGTCACCTGGGCCGAGCGATCTTTCTTGACCACAGGCCCCATCCCAGGACCCCCGTCCCGCCTTATTCCTGCCTTATTCCTCTTCCTGGGACCCGAAGCAGCGAAAGGCGTCACGCGAGTTTCTCCCGCTCCGCCGCTGGACGTGAACTCGGCAATCGGGCCCGCGTTCGATGCCTCCCATCCCCGAGCCTCCAGCGGCTGCCCACGATGACCCTTTCAGAATGCATGGAGGACTTGCTCATCCTTTAACAAAGCAGTTTCCAAACCCAGTCCCGGGGCTCATCTGCGGGAACGCCCAGCCCCGTGGTGCTCCCGCAGAGGTCGTGAAGATTTTCCATGGCTTCAACCCGAGCCCGTAGTTTTGAACCACGTGCATGTGTTACTTTGCTAATTTTTAAAAGCTTAAAATAAATTTAATGTCATTATGTTTTCAATGAAATTGTGTAAAAAGAAAAAATAAAAGAATATGTGCAGCACTTGCTTTAGGCTGTCCCTGAGGCAGGGACGTTAGGGTCTGGGCTTATCAGCCTCCCTCTCCCACCAATGGAGTCCTGGGAGGGACGGCAGCAAAACTGAAGCTCGAAAAGAAGTAGCAATGACAAACTGGAGCTTCGTGCCTGGGGGAATCGGACCAAGTCAGCAGAGCGCGCGTCAGAGCTGAGCAGGCACCGGGAGGCACAGAAGCGGACAAGTGTCCGCAGGTGTGGGCGGCTCCCCACCCGGTGGGATCAGTACGAGCTTTTGGTGCCACCTAGGCGCCAAAGCGAGGACTGCAAGGACGAGCCAGGAGTGTCCCCAGAGCGCGGGGTTGGGCGGCAACTTGAGCTAGGATCCCCGCCGGAGGTGGCCATTGCATGCCTCGGCCCAAGTTCCCGGGCAGGGCCCTCCCGGGCGGCTCGCCGTCAGGTGAACACATCCTTTTGCTTCTCCGTGACTGAGTGCTGTGCAGAAGAGGGGCAGCGCAGACCAGGTTTGGGTCAGAGCCTGCGAAAGCTCTGGTTTCCACCTCTACTGTCCCCCATGTTGATTCAGCGTGACTTAATACCGCCCCACAGTCTCATGAGCTCGTTCACCTAGCTGCTCCTGGCCTTTATAGGATCTGTGTCCTGACCAGCCGCCCGTGTCTCCCTCCGCCTTCCGCGCTGCCCTCCCTATGTGGGCAGGCGGTGTGGACAGGCGTCCAAGGGACTGGGTGAGAGAGATCCCGGCTCTGACCCTGTAACTGTCGGTGTGGGTTTGTCGAGTCCTTTAATCTCAGCCTCCTTGGGGGCTCTTTCTGCAAGATAGCGGATAACAATGGTCGTCCCCCACTGCACTGTGTCCTCTCCTCTTGGGACGTCCCGTCCATCCTCCCTGCAGCTGGGACCGCCCCAGGCCATCTCCTCCCCTCTTGCTTCCTGGCGCTCAGAAAAAGACAGCTTACACAGACTGCAGCCTTCCTTTCTTCTCCGCCTCCCTGGCCAGTGCGTACAAAATTGATTCTGGCGGTCATCCTCTCTCCAAGTGTTTTCTCTTCCTCCTGCCCCTGGGCGCCACCCCGCAGGGACGGCTTAGCCCCATCTGCCCCCTTTTCCCCTTGGCAACCCCGCCTCTCCCCTTCCTGCAGCAGCTTACTCCAGGGTGCTTCTGATTCTTAGGGCCAGACCACACTGCCTGACCCCACTATCTCCTGCCTGGAGATAAAGAGTTCTAGAAATCTGTCCCTTTGCCTGCGAGTTTCGCTTGACCCTGGATAGAGGGACTGACTTCACCTCTGCCCTGCCTCCATTGCGGCCCCTTCCTGGCCTGAGCTAAGCGCCATGGAGAGTCATCTCTGTCCTAGAGACCTGGGGAGTATGGGACAGGACTGTACTGATCATGGAAAGGAAGAGGTGCCTTGAGCAGAAGAGGCAGGAGGAAAACTGGTGATTCTGGGACAGGACCCAAGACTGTGACCTGCATGGGTTGTGGATACTAGAGGGAACAAGATGCCAGCCAGAAACCCCAAGGGGACCTGAAAGGCCTGGCTCTGGGTTGGTGTGTGGGGGAAGTGATGGAGATGTCACAGGTGGTGATGGGACCCAGATGGTGGGGAGGACAAGGTGCAACAGTGCTTTTCACTCCACTAGCTCCAGGACAGACAGTGTGGCTTGGAGCTTGCTGTGCAACTGCAGAATGAGGAATATGCTTAAATATTCACACACATACACACACACACACACCACTGCCACCAAGAAGACCTGCTTCCTGAAATCTTGGCTCTGCAATGACAGAGGAGCCCAGCCAAGACAAAGCCATGTGAATTCGAGCCCCTCCCTCAGGAAGCCCTTGGTGCCATCTGTCTGTCCTGTTTCTGCTCTGTTTACACAGTGACAGATCGACTGGGCTTGTTCTCAGGACCAGGAAAAGGCCATCCCTATCCTCTCCTTAGAGTCTTCTTGGTTCATGCCTTCCAGGCTACCCTCCTCTCCCTCCCCCTGTTTGTCCTGGGGCCTGGAATGCTTGTACTCACTGCATTCCTATTCAACCATGACAGAGTAGAGCCCCTCCCAGGCAGGATTTGCTGCCCTGGGAGACCTCTGTGGCAATCCCCCACCAATCCAGGTGAAGCCAGGTCCAGTCCGGGGGTTCGAGGGAAGGGCCCCTTAGGAGTGTTGGCAGGGTATCCAAGCTAGGGGTGTGGGAAAGGAATAGGAGGGCCAGGCTCAGTCCTGAGGAAGGCAGGAAACACTTGGTAGATGGTCTTTGTCTTGGTCACTTTTGCTGTTCCCTTCTTGGCCATTCCTTGTGATCCTGTGGCCTTTGCTAAACACCCTCTCCTCCGAACACATCACCCCACTTCCCACCTACTCTTGTGTTCCACCTGCTGTCCTCTCATTTGAACTCCCATTAGGTTGAGCCAGGTGTGGTGGTGCACATCTGTAATCCCAGCACTTGGGAGGCTGAGGCAGGAGTTCAAAGGCCAGCCTTGACTACATAAAACTCTAAAACTAAAGGTAAATAAATAAAAGAAAATGAATTCCCATTATTTCAGCTCCTCTTAGTCAGCTTCTTTATGTATGCAGTCCTATCACACCAACCCTCCTAGGTGAGTGCCCCAATTCTCCCAAGAGCACTTGATGGGCAAAGGCTAACGTTAATAATAAAGCTAGACCTCTATGGTTCGTTCCATTTTACGTGCTCCCGCAGCTAACTGCACAGGCGTCAGCACCCCCTCTACGTGTACAGGAACAACTTCAGATGAGATCAGGTACATTCAGGGTAGAATGGCTGTAGACTGGAATAACTTTAAAATCACAAAATATTTGTCAGATTACTGTTGATGTGAGCTGCTCACACTTAACTCAGTGTGTGCTCAGACGTCATGGGTAATCGTTCCTAAAAAAGGGGAAAGGTGAGAGCAGCTGGTGTAAAAAGGTGTGTGTAGGTGACCTTCACTTCTACACAAGAAATCGAGGGGACAGGATATACCCAGACTCACAGAGACAGTGGCAACCCCATGCTCTATCTGTAATATCTTTGAACCAGGCTTTTTTGTTTGGTTATGTTTGTTCTTTTGAGACAGGGTCTCACTATGTCACCCAGACTGACACCAAACTGGCCATTCTCCAGTCTCAGCCTCCCAAATCCTGGGATTACAGGTGTGCACCACCATGCCAAACTTTGAAGGAAGACTTTTCTTTTTCTTTTTTGGTGGGACTGGGGTTTGAAGTCAGAGCTTCACACTTGCAAAGCAGGTGCTCTACTCCTTGAGCCACACCTCCAGTCCATTTTGCTCTGGCTATTTTGGAGATGGGGTCTTGGGAACTGTTTGCCCAGTCTGGCCTCAAACTGTGATCCTTCTGATCTCAGCCTCCCAAATAGCTAGGATTACAGGTGTGAGCCACCATGACCATCAGGGTTTTTGATTTTTACTTCTTTCCTTCCCAGTTCTCTACCTTGACTATAAGCACTGTAAGCACCCTTGGCTAGGGCCATGTTCTTGGGGGAGAGGTGGGAAGAAGGCAGCTGTTTTTACGTTTGCATGGAAGAGGGAAGCCAGAAGCACAGGTTCCAGGAAGGTCCCTGCCCTGTGTGTGTAAATCTGTTAGATTGTCTCTAGATGCCTCTGTACCCCCACCTCAAGGAGGTTCTGACCTTCTCAGGGATAGGGCTCAGCACCCAGCAGACACTAATAAATACATGGATTATTATAAATACATGGTGAATGACCAGGAAGATGCCCTAACTCTAACAGACTCAGTGCTATCAAAACCAGCACCCCAGGGCTGGAAAGGAAACATGGTACATGAACAATGGAGTCCCATACAGCGGCTAAAACACTGCTGACTTGGGGGGCTTCTCAAGATCTATTGATAAAGAGGGGACTGAACAGGGCAGGGGTGGGGGAGGGGGGGTGCTGATATGTGAGCTGAGAGCTCTGTAGGTCTATGGAAGATGCTGGGGATCGTAGCTGTCTTGTGGGAAGGGGCATTAGGTGGAAGGGAACCCTGTTTTCACTCTGCAGCCTTTTCTACTACTTAAATATTTGCTATGTGCAGGTGATGCTTGTATAAAACTCTTCCAGAAAAGCCTTTATTTATTTATTTTTGGTATTGGGGCTAGAACCTTGGGGCTTGCGCATGCTAAGCAAGTACTTTACCACTGAGCTACACCACTGAGGTACA